TCCTAAATTTATTCCAATAGTTTGATAGCAATTTCAGATAATTTTCTCACCTTAAGATTCATGGAAACTAATGTCCGACTCTAAAGAGGCTCCGTCGTTAGGTTCATTAATATATTTTTATTTAAGAAAATAATTAATAAAATCTTTCAATAATTTTGTAAGATTTACTTTGATACAAATCTCTTAATAGTTTGGTGAGATTTCCTTGCAAATTTATTTTTAGAAAATATATTAAATCTTTCAATAGTTTGATAAGAGTTAATTAAAGATGCAAATCCTCTAATAATTTGATAGATTCAAAATAAAATATTTTATTAGTAATAATTTTTTATAAAAATTGATTTATGAGATGCTCCAATAGTTTGGTAGGATTAATGAATTTATTTTAGAAACATTTTTTTAGTTATTATTTTATAAATAAGTAAAATGAAATTCATAAAGGCATTTAAAATAATAATAATAATAATAATAATAATAATAATAATAATAATAATAATAATAATATAAATTGTTCAATTTAAAATAAGTAAGATTAAAGATAAAATGATGATGATGATGATAATAATAATAATAATAATAATAATAATAATAATGAGAATAATAATAAGTAAAACAAAAAATAAAATAAAATAAATAAAAATGAAAACATAAAATAAAATAAAATAAGAAAAACTTGAGATACGGTCAGGTCCGAAGGTGGGTAAATGCATAGATCCAACACGGGTTGAGTGAGTTAAATTAGTTGCCAAAACGATGTTGTGCAAGGTCCGTATAAAAGCCAAGAAAATTTTGTTTTCTTCAAAACCAACCTTTCCCTTATTCTCTCTAAAACCCTTTTTCTTTGTCTCTCTCCCTAAACCCTAGAATTTGACCATCAAAATCCAAGTTCAGCCACCAGTTTTTGAAAAACCTTGTTGAAATTCGATCGAAAACTTTAAGTCTAGTAAAAAACTTCAATCGAAAAATTCAAGTACTCATCCAAAAATCCAAAATTCTCAAATTTTCTCAAAATTTCAAATTAATTCCAACCTTTGATTTAAAGCCTAGAAATCACAAAAATATCAAATAAACTTCTTCAAAAGCATAATTTCAAAAGCCAATCTTCCCATAAAAAAAACCTATATTAGTAAAAGATAAATCCAGAAAGAGAACAAACCTTTTCACGCCCCAAAACCTAAAAATCTTTTCCCCATTTTGTGTGATTTAAGGCACCGGGCTCCTTTTCTAATAGAAACATAGGGATTTTATCAATCAAATATTCCAAATTTATTTAAGAATATGTTAGATTTGATTAGGGTTTCAAGAATAAACCAATCTTGCCAAATTTAATCCCATTTAATTTGTGAAATCTATTGATTCATTTGCCTTTTAAAGCATGATTTGATCCAGGGCATTTTGTTTCTAACCTCCAGCTTTTTACGAGCATAATTTCAAGATTAACCAAAAAAATTTGATTTCATTTCCCTTTCCTTTTCGTTTTTCATCTTTTTTTAGTTTTTAAATTATTTCTAATAAAAAATAATAAACAAAAAAATAATAATAATAATAATAATAATAATAATAATAATAATAACAATCAAAATTGGATCGTAGATCGTATTAAAGCAAATCAAAGATTTGGATTTAAAACCCAAATAAAATAAAGCCCTCAATTGGGTTCAAAATCTAAATTATCCACTAACGTAAACCTATCCAAAACTCGAAAGATCCAATAGGCCTCTCTTGAGCCTGATAATAAAAAATTGAAAAATATTGTGCAAGGTGTCTACAAAATCATGTCATTTCATAAGACAACCTTTATTAAACAAATATAATATTTCATCAATGATTAAACATTACTCTTCTTGATGAACGATTGTAATATTTCATCAATGATTAAACATTACTATTCTTGGTGAGAAAATACAACTTTTTCACTTGATGCACAAACATAATTTTTATAATCTATACTTTTAATTTATGAAAACTAGCTAGAATAGTTTGTCACCACTATCAAGTACTTAGGTCCACCAAAATTATTTCATAAAGAACTTTTCTCATCTAATGTGGAATAATAAATCCACCAATAATCTAAACTATCGACAGTGAAATTGCTTCCACTATTGAAACCATTTGTGATTTTTTAAAGTGATTTTCACCATTAAAAATAACTATTTCCTTCTTTAATCTCTTTATTAAATAACCCTGGCTGAGAAACATACCTACTTCTCCTTATTGAGAATATGACTAAACGAGCAAAACAAAGTGGCTAGATATAGATAGATAGACAATTTTAGGATGAGCAAAAGAACCCAAAAGTGTTATAGTATTTCTTGTGTATCTGTTTACACTATAATACAAGTCTATTCATACATATTCAATTTACAAAGCATGGAAAGAATATCTACATTTATAAGCATAGTGGCTGCCTAAATTTTGCCCCATAACTATGGTAGCCGCTAGCTACTAGTCATTGCCACTTTGATCTCGTTTACACTTAAATCATTTTGCCTTCCATTTGTTACATGATTTTATTAATTCAAGCTCTGAATTCTTCTTTGTAATTCTGGGTGATACACCGGCTAATTATACTGGTTTACCCAATAAATAAATAATGATCTTGGATCTCAATCAAAAGGAAGCTACCCACCAAATCTGTCAAGATTGGCATCTAATTTCAGTCCAAACTCAACATCTCTGATTCTTCAATTTCATCTCAAATGAAAGTTCTATTTGGCTTAGGTTACAGAATCTTGAAATTTTTTCAAACTAATCTTTTCATTTTATAGATCTTTTAACCCCGGCTAGTTTTCCTTCCTTAATTTTTCTTAGAACTTGGCCTCCTTAGTAAGAAAATCAAATGTGTTGAGTTATGGGTTTATATTTTAACACAATTATTTAGTCATTATAAAATGTTTCACATACATATTACAAATATCAAACTACATTAAAACACAAATTTCAAATAATACTAATTAAAATGATCATAACACCAACATTGTTTTTGCAAAATTCAAATCCTATTCACTACTTATTTAGCTTTAATGATAGAAAAGATGTCAAGATTTTGACACTATAAGTTAACCAATAACAATTCTATAGTAGACAATTGAATAATTTGAGACAAGAAACTCCATCAATTATCACTAATTTCTTTTAATTTAAATTCATTCTATCCATTTTAGGACCAATCTTGTTCCCAAAACTTTTGAAAGCTATTTCTTCCCAATATCTTCTTCCTTTTTTTTTTTTATTGAAATTTCCTCCCACTGTCTGCCTCTTTTGGATAATGGCTTCTCAGCCCCTTGCTCCTGGAATGAAACGAAAGACAAAGGCCTAAAAGTGGGTCAAAATTAACCCAAAAATGTACAGTCTACTGCTCCAGAGTGGTTGGGCAAATGAAGGTCTGGTTCGGGTTAAGTGGTAACTCCGTGATCAGTGTAACCCTCTCCAAACTATCATTCCCATATAGGGTGCCTCCGATTTTCTTCCCAACTGTGTCTATACTTATAAATTTCATTAATAATTTTCACAAGGATATTTCAGTAAAACCGGTTAAAATTCAGTAATACAATTTATCTGTAATGGTGGGTCCGGGTCAGGAATCGGGCATTGCACTGGAGTTAGGTAGGGCCCACTATGAGGCCCATCCTGCTCCTTGATTATGATGACGATGATGTATGTACGGGTGGTCCATGATTTACAATTATATATATTTTTTTGTTTTCCCAAATTCCATTTTTGTTAAAAGAGAAAAAAAACTATGAAGGGCCCCACCTCGACCTCGACACTGACGAAGATATCAACTCACCCCGAGTCCCCGACCATGACTGCCTGAGCTTTGAGTCAGTGCCCTTAATGTAATTTTACTCAAAAGTCGATGGCTATGGCTTCCAAATTTTCACATTGGTCAAGCTGATCACTCGGCTAGCTCATCAAAGTTCAGGCACCTAGTCTGGGGTCTGTCTATATATATATATATAATATAATATATACTATATATTATATTTTAAGCACAAAAATTGAAATTCGATTCCTTGGAAAGTTTAATCATCGCACTAACTCTTTTAATTAATTTACTACATACTCCGATCTAATAGATTAAAAAAATTCTAAATTCAATTAAATAATCAAACTATCAAAAACATAATCAAATTATACAATTAATGAACAATAGATAATAATTTAATATAATTTAATTCAATTTACTTACATATACAAATAAAAAAATTCTATTAATTATAAAAAACTATAAACATATTAAAACAATCAACATTTACTTATAATTAATATCAATGAATCTCTTATTCTTTTTTAATTTTATGAAATACTTTTAATTAAAACAAACACATATTTATATAATTTATCATATTTTTATAGACTCTTTAATTTTTCTTTAATCCACTCAAACATATTAGTATGAACTCTCTCATTCTTTTGTAATCTACTCAAACATACACTCATAAAAACCATGTTAATCTCTTCAATCCTTTCATTTTTTTTAATTCACTCAAATATACATACTCATAAAAATCATTTTTCTTTTAATTTTATGGGTTTTTACCAAATAAAATCTTATAATTTTTTATATATTTTTTTTAATTTAATCTTACGTTAACTCTTATTATTTATAAGTATATAAATTTATTTATCAGTAATCTTTTTCTTTTTAAAAGTTTTAATCTAAATCTTTTATGAAATTTGAATGAATCCAAATACCTTATTATATTATTTAATAAGAGTATTTTTGTGATATAAATAATTTTAGTAAATATTGTGATAATTTAAAAATAATTTTATCAATTTAATATAGTTTTAAACTAAAAAAATTCAAACTCTAAAGCCATGAAAATTAGCTAAGCCAAGCCAAGCCACAGATGGGCTTTGGCTTTGGTTAAGCTAATGTAGATTGAGTAGTCCCGTCTGCTTTAAAAGCCTTTGTGCTTTTTATTTAACGAGGCAATCATCGACGCCAAGAAAGAGAGGAGCAATCGAAATTCGACTGAAAAAAAAAAAATCATAAGCAACGGGAGGAGGAAGAAAATTAAGTACAGAAAATCTTGCATATATATAATATATATATATTTTTTTTGGTAAGAAACTTGCATATTAGGACATAGGAGTTACTGGAGGAGGTGTGGTTTTAGCCAAAGCAAAATAAAAAAAGCTACTGATTCTCATGCACACGCGTCTTTATATTCACGGGACAACTCCTCCAATTAACAAAAGAAGGTTTCTCTTTTATATATTTTTTTTCTCTCACAGTCACTGTGCTTCTCGCATTCTTTTTTTTTTTTTTCCTGTCTTTCCTCTGCAATTCCATGCTTATTTTTCAGCACGGTTGATGGAGAAACTGAAATAGTAGGGTTTCAAAATAAAAAAGCTTAGAAAAATGGTAAACCCATTGAAGAAAAAGAAGGATAGAAAGAAAAAAAACTGATCACCCCACTCTTCAGAATTCACTAGTCCTTTCGTTTTCTTTTTCGGCCTTGTTAGGTACTAAATTTGTATTTGTTTTTTCTTTTATGTGAAGGTTTTTTGTCTATATCTATTGAATCTTTTGTTATAGAAAAAACCAAACTACATTGAAATGAGATAAAAGGAGGTGAAAAAAAAAGAAAAGGAAGAAGCGAAAGCAAAGCCAAAAAAGAAAGCTTTAATACAGAAAACAAAAATACAAAACCTTCTATCTTCTGATTCATTACACGTCTGGTCTCTTTGATGATGACCCGGGAGGGTCTCTATGCATGTCTGTTCTGAAGTCTTCACCAGAGATTCTTGCTAAGAATTTGAGGTAGCAGTAGCCGAGAATCAAGGGAGATAAAAGTGAAGCATTTATTCTTCCTCTTTGTTTTTACTTTTTTTTTTTTTCCTTTTTATGGTTTTGTAGTTCACTGATCAGACATGGAGGCCACAGAGTTCTAGCAGAGAGAGAGAGAGAGAGACAGAGAGAGAGAGAGAGAGAGGGGTTTCATGGGGCCTTTGGTTTTGTTTTCTGGTTTCTGGATTTTGTAAAGGTAGTGGTTTTGACTTTGTTGATGATTTGCCCTTGTTTTCCTCATTCTCTAATAGTAACCTCAAAAAAGGAGAAAAAGAAAATCCTTTTTTTCTATCTTTAAAACTCAAAGTTGCCTTCAAAGGTTAATTCTTTCAATCAACAGCAGTTTCTGGGTAAAAATCCAATCTTTGCAGGTGAGTCTCTATCTCTTCTCTGTTAAATTGGTCTTCTCCATGTAATGATTTTATTTTATTTTGTTTATTTTTAATTTCCATTGTTTACAGTTAAACAATAATACCTATTTTGAGACTGATGGACTAAAAGAGATCAAGAGCAAGAATCTGCAAGTAAAGGTTTAGATTTTAATAATGGCAGACTGTGACACTACTCTTCAATCTCCCTCAGACAACAAGGAGCAGAAGAAGCCCATTTCATTTCCTAGGTTGTTTACTGGTTTTACTTTAAAAGCCTTTTCTGATAATACTGAGGCTGTTATGAGTCCAACTTCTATACTTGATAGCAAGCCCTTATCAGCTTTCAAAAACCCCTGGTGGTCAGAATCAAGGACCCCCAAAACCCCAGAACCAGAAACTAGACACAAACTTGACTCTAAAGGGATTAGTCTTGGCATTTTTGATGCTCTCAGAGATGATGATTTAGATTCCAACTTGTCAAAACCTGTCCTGTTTGGTTCACAACTTAGGATCCAAATTCCATCTCTGCCTCCTATTTTTGCTGCAGCAGAATCTCCTAGAACACCTCCTGAGTTTGGTCTCAAGACAAGGAGTTCTCAGTTGAGTTCATTTTCTTCTGGCTTGTCTCCTTCTCCTGTGAGGAAAAACATTGAGACCTTGAATTCTCCTAGGGTCATCCCTGGGAGCCTCTCAGCGACTGAGATGGAACTCTCAGAAGATTATACATGCGTAATATCTCATGGGCCTAATCCGAGAACCACCCATATTTTTGATAATTGCATTGTTGAGAGCTGTTGTGGGGTTGTTGGCTTCTCTTCTTCCAAAAGGGGGAATGGATTTTTGAGTGATAGATCAAGTTACCAATCAGAGAGTTTTCTCAGCTTCTGTTGCACTTGCAAGAAGAATCTTGGTCAGGGAAAAGACATCTACATGTACAGGTTAGCCTCAAGTTTTCCTTTTATGGAATTGTTTTTTGCTCTCTTCTGACATGATTTTGCTTTTTTTGGTATTACTTTATCCTCTCTTGCAGGCCCATATAATATATATATATATATATATATATCTGTTTTTTCAGTTTTCTATTGTAAAAAGAATATACTCTTTGATGCAGTATTTGATGAAACTTTGATCCATCAATAAATTGAGCTTGATTTGAATTGTATTTTTCTTCAATTAAACTTGATTCATTCAAGTTCATCTGTCTCTGGACTAGTAATTTGTGCTTGGTTTCATGTATAGTGGAATAATTTCAAGCTTTATGACTATCAAAATCTAGAATCTCATTTCCATACTGTCTTTCAGAGGGGAGAAAGCATTTTGTAGCAGAGAATGCCGATACCAAGAGATGATGCTCGAGGAAGGAATAGGTAAACTGGAACCTGATGATATCTTCGGGACTTGTTCATGACAGTTGTTCATGTTTTCATTTTGGTCTTTTTTCTTTCCTTTAAAGAGCCAGCCAAAGATAAAGTAAAGCAGCTCAACAACTTTGTTTGCAGACCATCAACAGGTCGAAGGAGTAACAGGCTGTGATATTTGTAGAATTCATTTTCTTGCTAGTGATAATGGGGTGATTGCTGTTGGGTTTTTTGTCCACAGTGTTTGGTTGTCAAAGTTGGTGGCAAATGGCTATGATCATCATTCTGATTTGTGACTTAAAGCATATACGATATATTATCTTTGCTTATATAATCATCTTTTGATTAGGCACTAAGAGCCAATTACTTCAATCGAAGTAGATTCTTTTCTTTTCTTTCTTTTTCTCCTGCTCATATTCATTATTCTTTTTTTTTCTGTGTTATTTTTATACAACCCTGACGTCAGGCTAACCATTTTTAAGGAACAGATCAGTGAATAACTCTGGGTAATAGTTAAGAACAGGATGACAAACAAAAAGAATATAAAATTTTAATAAAAATCAGATTTAGTAAAATTAAAAAATATATTTTATAATTTGTACATTGATATGAATTATAATATATTTGTTATTTATGCGTATTTAACGTAATATATATATTTATATAAACCAATTGACAAATCTAGGAATGGTTCTCCCTTGATAATTTCAAAACAAACAAATAAGGTGTAAATTATAGCCCCCTCTCCACCCCACTTTCAGCTGGGCTGGCCTAGGGAAAAGAAGATTGCCATATGATTTTTGCTAGTTGAAACTTCTCATCAATTATGCATAATTCTCTCCCTTGTGTGAGCAGTAACACAAAGGTAAATAGGGTATATGTCATTTTCTTTAAACTTTGCATAGTAATTACATTAAGAAACTTATTATATTTTCCAACTTGTATGCTTTTTAGCATGGGAGATAATGGATCAGATTTTATTTAATTTTTTTAAATAATACATAAAATTATGAATTTTTAAAATTTAATCTAAATTCAAACCAAATTTTTATATGATTCAATTCGAACAAAATTCTATTGATTTGGTTCGATTAGATTAATTGATTTTTAAATTTTAATATTTTTAAATAAATTTAGTTATAAAATAATTATTTTTATTTTATAAAATTTAAAAAATATATAAAAATTAATAAAAATATATAATTTGATTTAGTTTGATTTGTTTTAATTTTTCACTTCCTGATCGAAATTTAATATATATATATATATATTAATATCCAAACGAAATCTGAATAAGAAAAAATTAAATCGAACAGAGCCAAACATAATATATATTTAATATTTAAATTTAATTTGAATCAAATAAAAAAATTTGAATTGAACAAAAAATCACGATTTTAAATTAATTTTTGGTTTTTTCAATTTTTTTTTCTCATTCTTACTTTTTAATCTATATTATTTTATGTTTTTCATGTGGTCAAGAATTGATAAACTGAAAATTTATTACTCAAACTGAAAGTAAACCTGAAGAATGGAGTGACTACTGTGCACTCCATGTAAATTAGTACTTCTTTTGTGATTCAGGATACAATTTGAATCCAATACAACAGAAAAGTTGGTGATTGCTTCTAAATTTGCAGTTGATTCCTGTGTGATATTGCATCATCTATAACTCACAGAAGTAAAACTTACTACTAAAACTAGAATCGAGAAAGTGTATCAAAAGGGAGAGAAATGATCTTTGGGTATAATTAGGATGACCCGAAGTCATCAAAATCAGAAGGACGAGGGCAGACAATGGGGTCCTGCCCTGACCAAGAAGTTGTACCGCCGTGCCCACCACAATCCTTTCACTATGGCGGATCTATTGGCTAGTAGCCATGTGCGAATCAAAAGGTTAGGAACAGTTAGCAGTCAGCACAGGGAAGGGAGAGACCAAGCATGAAACATAACAGAATTTGGGACCATTTTCACTGTAGAATCATCTTCCCTTTTTGTTTTCCCTTCCCGGCTCTTTACTATGCACATGGTACTGGTACTGATGCTTCACCGCACGATTTTTTTATTCTCCCTCTTTTTATTTTTATTTTATATTTTTACTTTTTGAGAAGGATATTTAGTTTCATTAGTACTTGCGTACTTCACATTGATTTAAAAATTATTACTAGCACTTAATGCATTTGATTTAATAAAAGATATATGTATCTTTTAATATTTTATTTAAATAATAAAATTATGGATTTATTCACTTGCTACATGAATTAAGTTATTGTACTCTTAGGGTGAACTTGTCGAATAAAAAAGTGACAGGTGGAAAAGTAACAAGAAAATGAATTTTGAGTGCGTTGAATAGGAAAGAAAGGTGAGAGGAAAGAAAGTAGAAATTATTATTATTTTTTAAATTTATTCACAAATACAAATAATTTTAAATTGGAAAGCAAAACAAAAAAAATGGGAGAGGTGTTAATGAGTGTTGCATTATAAAATTATCCATCACTTTTATTTTTTTTTCTTTTTATTTAATTTTAAAAAGATTATAATAATAAAATCGCATAATTTTTATTTTTTTTATTTTTTGACTTTAGCAAACAATGAATGAAAAAATTATATATATATTTTAATTTTTTTTATCTTTCCATCCAAACAAGAAAGAAAAAACATATATTTTATATTTTCAAATTTTTTCTCTTTTAATTTTTCTATCCATGGTATCAAATAAAATTTTAATTTCATTATCAAAATTTTAATCTGACAACTTTAATTTGTATAAATAAAATTACGCCTCAATCGTGGATCTAAAGATAGTGAGACAACAAAACAAGTTGGCCCAAATAATTTGGGCTGAACCATAGGCACGAAGCCGATGTCTGGCTGCATGTCGACCATATCTTCTTCATAACTCATCTTTCTCCCTGTTGCTAATAATGGTTTACTCATTAAATGAAGTTCTGAAAATGGAAAATTTGAAATCCTTCCAAGGATACTTTTGTAATTTCATGCACAACAATTCCTCTGAACTTTGATGCTTTAATTAAAATAAGGAAAGCCGGATTTAATGGCTCCAAATTCTCTCTCCTCAATCTTAATCTTACCCTCTCAGAATCCAATTTTGTCCTCCATCTCCTTTTCTCCTCTCCCCTCTCACCATCAAATCCGCCACCGTAAAACGATCGCTCCCGTTGCCTTCTCTCACCGCCACAGACTTCGCCGTAAATTTCGCCGGAAAAGAGACGACATGTCCGTTACCCTCTCGCTTTCCTCCATGGAAAACGAGCCGTTTTTAGATTCCAGAAATAGTAAGTTTTATTTTTTCCATTTCTTGAAAAAAGAAAATAAAGAACAACTTGAACTTAATTTTAATTTTATTTTTTCCTTCAAGGTGCTAGAAATGGAGACACTTTAGCGACGGAAATGGAACAAGAGACGAGTACTTCGACGAGTTCGAGGAAGAAGAACAAGTACATCAGCGGCACCGGCAGATTGAAATGTTTCGGCGTCGATTTGTCGCCGGACAATGTGGCAGTTGCTATGGTGTATTTCGTTCAAGGCGTTTTAGGCCTTTCGAGGCTTGCTGTTAGCTTTTACTTGAAAGACGATTTGCATCTTGATCCTGCGGAAGTATGTTTTTTTTTCCTTAATTTTCAAGCTTTTTTTATTGATAATTGGATAATTTGGCACTTGTTTTAGGTTAAGTTAAGCTGAACTTGGATAATGAGAGCATGATTTTATTATTTATATGAAATGACTGGTGGTAGAATCAGTTTTACGTCTTAGTCATTTGTTCATTTTAATCAAGTATGGTTTTATTTTTGTTCCGTTTACTTTTGCTTCATAGCAAAACTTAAAGATGTAAAATGTTTTGGTTGTTGCTTTTGTTACTTGCAGTTTGTTATCTGCATTTCGCTTGCTCAAAATCGTTAAAAGTAAAAGCAAATGGTAGAATGTAAAATCAGAATTAATTAAAAATGAACAAATGACTTAACATGCAACACTAATTCTAATGCAATTGTTTTATCAAGTAAATTTGTACATATTGTTTCCTGAAAGATTTGCAGTTGTGATTCTAATTTTTTGGAATTTAGTTATAAAAGCAGAAATGTTGAGGATTCAAGCATTGGATTATTTAGCTCTATGACCATGTTAAGTACATGCTTCATTTGATTATTTAGATTAGCTTAAGAAGGGTATTTTAATGAGTTTGTGTTTCATTTTATTGGATATTTATCTTATAATCTTCTTAAAGGACTGACAAGTTATACATGGTTGACTAGACAGCTGTGATATCTGGTTTTTCTGCACTGCCGTGGCTTGTTAAACCACTTTATGGGTTTATTAGGTGCAACTCTGTTAACTGCCTCCTCTTTTTTCTGATTATAGCTGAGCATTTTGAAGTATTTATGTTGTCTTTGGATTTGATTTGAACAACACTTGTTTTTGCAGTGATTCAATCCCACTCTTTGGTTATCGAAGAAGATCATACTTAGTTCTATCAGGGCTTCTTGGTGCTCTCTCATGGAGTTTGATGGCCACCTTTGTTGACAGCAAGTATGGTGCTGCATTCTGCATACTTCTTGGCTCTCTTTCTGTTGCCTTCTCAGATGTTGTAAGTTTCTGCTATTCAGAATTTTTTAACTTATTCACTTACAGATGATTATTTCTATCAAGGGCTTTTTAGGGTTCTATGATTTCTTATAGCTGCACATTTCCTGTGATGCATGTTTTTCCCATGATAATGTTGTTATGTACTCTAAGTTGGTTACATTTGAAGTCAAAGCTTTCTATACAGCCAACATTTTTATAAGAGAAATATTGCATGATCTTCTGCTGATATTTATTAACCTAATCATGAATCAATGTCAAGCTAAGGTGTGCTTGAGAATAAAATAGTAAGTTAATCCGTTTACAAGTCTTAAAGGAGCTGAGCGCCTGAGACTTTCTCTATGCATGCTTGGTTCACATGTAAAGCACAAAAATTCTTAAAAGTCTTGATTTAACACATTTTTCAAACCAAACAAAAGAAAATTTTAGCAGCTTTTGAATTAGTTGTGAATTTGATTGTTAGGATGTCTCTTATTATATCAGACATTATTTTTAGTGCATTTTCTCTCTCTCTTGGCAATTCACACATGATTGCATGAGCATGTACATACCTACACTACTCTCAGAGGCATTCTAATTGTTTGTCATAAAAATTTATTTGTTCAGGTATTATCCAATTGATATTCTAGTCGTTTTTCTGAAATTATGTTGGAAATTAATGCATGATGTAGGTTGTAGATTCCATGGTTGTGGAGAGGGCTCGTGGTGAGTCACAAAGCATGTCAGGATCTCTTCAGTCTCTATGCTGGGGATCTTCAGCTTTTGGTGGAATTGTGAGCTCCTATTTTAGTGGCTCTCTGGTGGATGCTTATGGTGTGAGGTAATTAAGGTGATTTGTATATGGACATAATTTGCAAGGACAAAAGACAATTCTGGCTAATCATTTTGTTACCAATTTAACGTGTCAGGTTTGTTTTTGGTGTCACTTCATTGCTACCACTGATAACATCTGTTGTTGCTGTTCTTGTGAAAGAACAGCCTGTGCTTGGCCCAGCAAGGGTGCAGAGTATTCTTTTGGGCAATCCTAGCTTTCTTGAAAGCTCAAGAGAGAGTATTATTCAGTTGTGGAATGCTGTTAGACAGTCCAATGTATTTCTTCCCACAGTTTTTATTTTCTTGTGGCAGGCAACACCACAGTCAGATTCTGCCATGTTTTACTTCACGTAAGTTGTATTACTTTGTTTAAATTTCTTTGTTATCAACTGATTTTTATCTTAATTTTCATATCTGCAACAAAAGGTTCCTTTCATTTCAGCACAAATAAACTTGGTTTCACCCCAGAATTTCTAGGACGTGTCAAGCTTGTTACTTCGGTCGCATCATTGGTTGGCGTTGGACTGTATAATGGATTTTTAAAAAATGTTCCATTGCGGAAGATATTTCTTGCCACAACAATTACTGGTACAGCTCTTGGAATGACTCAGGTTTGTGTTTGGATTTACTTTTGGTTAAGATCGGTTGCATATTGTGCTTATAGGCATTTTATTTATATTATATTTTTGTCTTTGTTTAGGTCTTTCTTGTCACTGGATTGAACCGGCAGTTTGGGATAAGTGATGAGTGGTTTGCAATTGGGGATTCTTTGATTCTAACTGTTCTTGGTCAGGTAACTAAAGTTTAATTGTTCCTACGTATTTGCTTTAGCCTGTAATAGAAACAAATGATTTCTGCCAATGGCAACCATTATCTGTACTTGGACAGGCAGGATTCGAGAATATAAAGTGAAATTGATAGGGCTTTTTGAAGTTACTGCCTGGTAGAAGGTTCCTTTTAAGGTTTTCATTTTAAATAAAATTGATGCTGTAACATAAAAGGAATTTCATTAGGTTCAGTTTTAAATGTGGCTTCGATAATTTGAAGCCTTTTTCAGAAGTCACAAACACCAAAATGATTTTTTCTGCACTAAAATGTTGCAGGCTTCTTTCATGCCGGTTCTTGTACTTGCAGCAAAACTATGTCCAGAAGGAATGGAAGCAACACTATTTGCAACTCTGATGTCCATATCAAATGGAGGCAGTGTTGTCGGGGGTCTGATAGGTGCTGGTCTGACCTGGGTATTCGGCGTAACCATGGATAAATTTGATAACTTGGCCACCTTGATAATCCTCTGCAATCTCAGTTCATTGTTGCCTTTGCCACTACTTGGTCTCCTTCCCCAGGATGATTCTGACACTGTTTCTAAGGAGAATGTAGATATCGAGATGAAATCTAATTGAATTCTGGCTGTTTGCGTCAGTGTCCAAAAATGTGTCAAATTCTCTCCCACAAATTTCTTTGGAAATCTCCTTTTCATAATGGAAATGTTGGCTATAGATTACTCAATACAGTTTAGAACATAGAGATAAGGGAAAGAGGGAGAGGGAGAGAGCTCTGTAAATATCAGGGGTGGGGATCATTGCAAATCCCTGTTGAATGCGATATTGACAAATTCAAAAAAATCAAAAAAGAAACATAGACGATACAACAATTTCATATTGTTCTCGATTGTTATTGATAAATGATTTTTGAAGTTGCAGGTTAGTGATGTGTAATTTCTGAAGTAATGAAATCTAGTAATACTCTTTTGATTAAGTTGAACATTTGATGTTAAATAAATGTAAGAATAATAAAGACTAGAATGGTTCTTGCCTGTTCTCGGTCAAAAATTTTTTTATCTTTTTTTTATTTAATTGTAAAATTTACTTAATTAAAACAGAAAAGGCAAAATGTCAAAATAGTCAAATGAGTGTGTATGATATTTCAATTTGTCTCTTTTTTTTTATTTTACGAATTTTATTTAATTAAAAAACAAAAAAAAATGAAAAGGGTAAATATGAAAAAGAAAATAAAAAAATAAAAAAAGAGCTTGGGTGTCCATGTAACATCTCTACTAAGCTTAAAATATTAATTCTTTAAACTAAGGTATCAAATAATAATTTTATTTATAAAATATATAAAATATATAAAATAAACTAATAATAAACATATACTTTTATATAAGGGTAGTAATAGATTAAATTTGATTCGATTTTTTGAATAATATTAAATATTATTAATTTAAAATTTTCAAATTTAAACCAACCTTTTATATGATCCACTTTATAAATTTTTATAAATATTTAAAAATTTTTAAAGTTGGACCCACTTTACCAAGCTTTTTTTCTCTATTAAATAAATTTTGCTCTCATAAAGAGTTGATTCTGTGTGTTACGTTGCACCCCCAATTTCCTTCTATTTTACTTTTTTATTTTTTCGTTACTTTTTATTTTTGTTTTTTTTTTTTCCAAGATTTCTTTATATTTAACAAATTTTTTACTTAAAATTTTAAAGATGGCACCCATTTTATACTAATTTTTCTTTTTTAGCTTTTTCATTTTCATTTTCTTTTTAAAAATTTTTTGTCAATATTTTTAAAAATTTTAAATTTCTTTTTGTATGGGATTCACTTGATATTAATGGTATGTAACATGAATGACTTTATTATTATTATTATTATTATTTAATAAATATTTTAAAATTTTTAAATAATTTTTTTTGTAAACCACTTGATACTAAAGGTATGTCACGTGTTAAGTAATTTATTTCATTTTTTTATTCAAATTTTTTCCTCATTTTTTGCTTTTATGCTTTTAAATTAAATTAATTTTGTGAAAAAAAAGAAGACCAATGCAAGTGTGTACATGACACCTTTATCTAGGTTTTTTCCTTTCACATTTTTTATTTTAATTAAAAATTTTTTTTAACAAAATGTGTCAATTAATAGGAATATTAAAATACTTGTATTTGATAGATTCTGATTCGTCTTGATTCGATAAAAGATAACTTTTTAGAAATAAAGATAGAGTTAGGATTGATAGAGGGTTTTTTAGAGAAATGAGATCGTGATGAAAGTATGTTTAGAGTATTTTGTCCAGCTCATTTCGAGGTATAAATAAAAGTAAATATGAAAAAAAAAATCAAGTAAACTAAAGGTGATTCAAAATGTTCGGTTCGGATCGGTTTTTTCTTTATTCATTTCAAATTAAGTTTGGTTATTATATATATTAAGTTTAGATCGAAAAGTAAAAAATAAAACAAATTTAATTATATATTTCTATTAATTATATATATTTTAATTTTTTATAAAGTAAAATTATTATTTTATATCTAAATCTATTTAGGTATATTAAAAATTACATTAAAATAATATTCAAAAAATAAAAAAATTAAATTTCAAAGAAAGTCACATATCATTATTATATTAATTTCATTCTATACATATTTCATAAATTAATGATTTGGAAATAATTCTTTAAAAAATAGAATATAAAAAAATTTTATTGGTTTTTCATTTTTATTTCTTATGTAGATTTTATGATTTTATTTTTCTTTCATGGTAATGCTTTTTCTTCAATATAATTGTTATTTTAATTTTTTGGTTTTTTTTTAAATTTAGTTTGTTTTTTGTTTTAATTTTTATTTCAATAAAGTAATATGAATAGATTATTTTTTAAAGAGAAATTTTTTAGAATTTAAAAATCTTATATATATGTGCATGTGTATACATATGTACATTCACATATTTATGTACATATATATTATTTAAGTATTTTTTAAAATGAAAAGAATCATGTGAAGCAATGGATAAAAAACCTAATAAAATAAAAAGGAAAGAAATCAAATTTAAGATTTTTTTAAAAAATGATAAATTCATTTAATGTCAAATCATACTTAGATTAAAAAAAAAATCAATGATGACTTCTTTATATTGAGCAGTTGGATTTTCAAATTTATATGTTTTGACACATTTTAGATTTTTAGTTTTTCATAATTAAAAAGCAAATAAAGATTACATTATAATAAGTAGAAAATTCACACATCACAAAGTTTAAAGCTTCTAATAAAATTAAAAATACAAATATGTTTTAATTTAATTTAATTAAAATATTAGATAACTCAATTAATTGAAATATTTAATCAAAATTAGTCTATGATAATCAAAATATAAAAAAAGTTATTATCATAAATGGTTCCTAAATTATAGTAAAATATTAAATATGATATCTAAACTTTAAAAATCTTTAATTTAGTATTTAAATTATAAATTTGTTAAGTTATATGATATTTACCCCTAAGGTGGTTAATTGTAAATGATGATATAAGAAGGATAAATAATTCTCCAAGTATTACATTGATTAACAGATTCATAATTCAAATAATATATTAGAAATTTTTAAAATTTAAGTATTATATTACATATTTCATTATAGTTAAGAGAGATTAAAAAAAACTTTTGATTACCAATCAAAATAATTTTGGTTACCGACCCAATTACATAATTATTTTGTTGGATGGAGTAATTCGATCACACACACCCCTATTGTCTCCCAATTAAAGATTAGGCTAAAGCATAGCCACTAGCCTATCGCACAACAAAATTTCACAAAAATAGTGAATAGAAATGTTTTACCTTTGCTATTAGAAAATGGGTATCTCATTTCTATGCCTTTGAAAACAAACCCAAATCCATTGAGACAGAGATATGATCCAAATAGCAAATGCAATTTTCACATAGGACCGATTGGTCATTCAATTGAAAACTGCAGACAGTTGAAAGAAATGATTGAAGATCTTATCAATGGTGACTTTTTCACTTCGGAGCTCATAGAGCAATAGCAATTTACTTTGTCTTGAGTCTAATTGCAAAATTTAAGGACTTAAGAGATGTAAAGGAATTTTGGGTCTTAGATGATTATGGAGTAGTTTTTAAACTTTTGGAATTTTTGTTTGGTACATATGCACGACATGCACATGATGTTGCTAAGTTGTATTTGTTGCATAGAATCACTATTGTTGGATTTTTGAATTAGTTATTTATTTTATTTCAAGCAATTATTCAAAAATAAAACCTACATAGCATACTTTTCAAATCAAAAAAGAAAATAAAATGGTTTTCAAATTCATCATGATGGGTTTCAAAGAACTATTGATCACTATTTGGAATAAACTTTTCTCAGAAAATACCTTTTGCCAACGCTTTCATTAAAACCACTAAAAGACTTAATGTTTCAAGAAGACACAAGTTTCAGTCCCATCTTCACCTAATCATATCATGACATATAAAAGGGGATTTTTTTTAGGTGATGATCGATGAAATAGTTACTTTGAAAAAAGTTTTTTAGTTTTCTTGAAAATCTTGCAAACGTGATGTTTTTTAGATTTGATGTTAGTAATTTGATATGTGTCAAGATTATGTTTGCTCTTCAACAATAAAGCCTTTCACCCAAATCTCATCAATTGGCCATAGACACATAATGTTTCAATTTCCTTCGTAAAGTGATTAGTGTTCAATGTCTTGGGGCACATTAACTGAAAAAGCAAAACCACTCTTTGCCCTGAAGACAACGTGGCTTATACCATAACTATTTCTTTTGATGGGATGATATGAACAATCTGAAAACCTTTCCAGCATGATTCCAATCATATGGACCTTTTTTGAATGGTATTGAACTAGAGCACCTTTTAATGAATTGTGTATGAGTTTTGTGGGTATGAAAAAATGATAAAAAAAAGAAAAAAAAAAGAACAAACATGATTGTGGCATCATACACTAAAGAAGTTTGAATAAATCCAAACAAAAACGTTAAAAGTTTGAAAAAGAAAGCTAAATCTTTGAAAAAAAAAAACCAAGAAGAAAAATGAAAGAACTTAAAAGTTAAGGAAACAAAAAAAAATCCCAAGAAAAGAAAAAAAATTCTTTAAACCCTTTTTCTTAAAAAGAATTGCTATTCAATTTAAATGATTGTGCTTGAGATGACAAATGACCATCTTTCATTATCCTTTCACAAATAAAAAAAATTATTCCCTTGCTATCCCTTTGAGCTTGATGAATTCATTCTAAATGAACTATGACCAATGACCATTTTTTATATTGGGGGTAAAAGAGGGGTGCATTTAAGGGTTAAGTATGATGAAGGCCGTGATGAAACTCTCCATGTTGAAGGCAAATGTTCCATAAAAAATTCCCCAAAAGTTTAAAATCCATTTAATTAAAAGAGAAAAAAAAAGGGAAACAAAAAAAAAAGAAAAGAAAAATAAAAAGAAAGAATAGAAAAAAAAAGAAAAAGAAATGATGAAATAAGAAAATAAAAAGACAAGTATCCTAAAATGATCCTTAGTTTGATCACCTTTAAGCACTTATTTTGGGCCTATTTATTCTTTTCTTTGAAAACCTTGAACCTTAGCCTACATTACGTCTTTAGAAAAATCCATATTGGATAAGGTATGGATGCTTAAATTGATAAGCTTTTCTTTGAGAAACTGTTATAAATTTGAGAATCTCTTGCTCTCTTTCATTGCCAAGCCACCCATTTTATCGATCAACCCACTGTGGATGAAATTTTAATTTTTAAGTGCATGATGAAATAATAATAAAAAAAAAAAAGAAATTGACATGGCTCTAGGGTGAAAAACCTTAAAAAAGCATAGTTTAGAGCAAATTTAAAGACTTTGAAGCTAATCTTAATGTTTAACAAAATAATAGAAGCTAGTTTAAAGTAACCCATACTTTTGACAAATTCAAGAATGTGATGCTCTGAAAGTTTGAAACCCATGAAAGAGATGAAATTTAAAAATTTGAGCCTCATTCTTCCATTCTAAATGACCCTTCAAAATCTTAGCCCCTTTAAATT